AGTTGAAGAAAATATATATTTTGATGAGAGGATCTCGGAGGTGCCGTTAAAATCAAATCACGCAAATTATCGGCGATCGTAATTTGACGCGGTTGATAGCGCTCTCTATCGGTTGCCGCGCGGATGACCGCTGATTATCTGATAGCGTGGCTTGCTCGCGTTAACAAATATTATTTGAAATAAAACTTTTTACCCGGCAGTCGACGGAGAGTCCACTGATACTATCAACTGAATCGCACAACATCCATGTATTGCTCTTACCCTGATTAAAGACGTTGAGTTTCAAACAATCTGGATCATCCGTCATGGCGCTAATTTCTGTGTTTATACTGTTGCTGCAATTAAAACAAAGCCGGTCGGTTTCATTTAGAGCCTGTGGAGGACGAGAAAAGAAAAGTCGACGTTTTACAGCAATTTCTCGTTTTTGGTCATCACCTGCTTGCAATCATCGAACTGTTCCTTTTGGCGGGGAAAGAGCCCCACAGGTGTAACAGCTTATCCTGTTTGGCATGCTCCTAATTTCCACAGACACAAAAGTATACAACGAAAATCATTAATACAGGTCAAAGCAGACAAAAAACGAGCCTCATAATTTTGCCGATAAATATTGACACCAACTGGATCACATTTGGCGATATGGCACTACAATGTCTTGTTCACTTCAGAAACGACGGATGTGTTACCCGTTTCCCATGGAGATGGGCGTTTTTGTGGATGAGTCAGCAATTGTAGCTCCTCCTTGGGTGGTCGTCCGACCAAACGTTTGGTCGTGTCTTTCACTGGAAATCTGTCAACCATACCCATTTTATAAATATCCGTTCTACTTTGGTGGAAAATGCGTTCATGGTTTCGATGAGAGCATCCAAATGACTGTTTGGAAAGTTGTCGAAGCACTGCCGAGAACACCTATAACACGAAACGAAAAAAAATGATAATTTTAAGCGATAATAATTTTTAATTAATAATTATTTAAGTGCCTGAGCCCAATATTTGACCAATAATTATGTTTTAGAGGTTTCTTTAGCACAAGTAATTTTGAGTGAAACAAAGGTTTTCCAAAAAAGTTTTTTTTAATAACCCTATGACCCCTTAAGGTGCACCCGTATTGCAATTCCCAATGTTTTTTTAAGATCCTGTCGAATTCTAAAATTTTGGCACGCTCCGCCCACCCCCCCTCTTGGGTCCCACAAAGAGAAATGAGTGTAAGGAAAATGAAAGCGGTGAATCTTCTTTGAATCATCCTAGGACATGAGTTTGTACAGCCCTGCATCACTTCATGATTATTTTATCTCGCAAACGTAGTTTTTCACGAGGAAATTAAATGAGTCAATTTTACTATATCATGATTCAAAGCTTATGGAACTGTTAAATAATGCTCAAATGTTAATAACAATTATTTTAAAAACAATTACTGACCCACAGTTTTCCGGTTTTCCGTGCTTCAATTTTCTGGCCAGCATAGTTGACATGAGCGCGATCTTTCACTTTTGCACTTCTTATGCGATTCTTCCTCCTTTTTTTCGGATTTGGAATCCGGCACCTATGATTTTTCCTCGAATCGTCGGTATCTGAGCTGCTGCGTGTACTACTCGAATCACTCATGGTAAAATTGTTGATGAATTACACCACAATAAACGCAATAAAAGAACGTAAAAATATTGATTATTGAACCATCTCATGCGGTTGCTAGTCGTCAACTGAACACTGGTTTAAACAAATGATACAGTAGCATCCGATTTTGGCCATAATCAGATTGCGTTTCTTACCTGCATCTTCTGATAATACGGCCACTCATTGTCAGCAGGATCCGAACGCAAAGCTGTGATAAGCGAGCGCTTCTCGTGGAGATAAGCTGATCTTACCACGAACCGCGACGGATGAATCGAGTAAACATTTTCCTGAAATGGGGGGGGGGGTTTCATTCAAACCCGGTACCCTCAGTATTGCAGAAAATAACGTACCTAAGTATTGTGAGAATGTCATCATTTCGGAGGCTTCCTTCATACCCGCGCAAACATCGCCCGGCAACAGACGGTGAGGACGGAAACACACCACATTGGACAAAAAAACACATTGGATCTAGAGTCCAGACTCTAAAAACATCGACAAGAAAAAATACTCTTGATTTAATCAGATTTAAGCTTTCAAGAACCAAGCCTCTTGATTTGAGCGGATTTCCTTTTGATTTAAGCTTAAATCTGATCGAATCAAGAGTCCTTTTTCTTGTCAATGTTTTCAAGAGTCTGGACTCTAGATCCGATGTGTTTTATTTCCAGTGCAACTCGCCGAGTTGGTGTGTTTTCGTTCTCACCGCTCTTTTCCCGTCGCTGTTTCGAGCGCTTCCGATCGCGATTTCGAAATTTTCTTCTGCGTGCAGATGCTTCTATCGAGAAGTGTCACTAAACCGTAAAAAAGTGAAAATCGAAAAAAAACCCGAGTTAGTTTGTTTTCGAACTCACTGATTCAATTTTCATACGGTGTTGTTCCTTAGCACGGGAGTGTCGCTCGGGACCAACACTAACACACCAACACACTCCAACACACCTCGGTGTTGGAGGAGGCCCACATTTTTGGGAAGAGGCCGCCCCGGCCCCGGTCGCCCCTGCCGGGGTCGACGAGTTGAAATTCGATTAAGCGGGGTGAATGGGACGCCCCTTACAAAGCTCGCGATCTCCGCGAAACCAAAGCGTTGTCGTTCAAACACATCCCGACTCGCGGAACGAGATGCCATTATCGAGATGTTGATTGAACCCCATGCGAGGCCTTTAAAAGCACCATGAGTAATTAATGCATCCACCGGTCTCCCTGGTTGTAACATCTTCCAGAAAAACATCAAGTGTATGCGGTTCTGCCTTATCCGCCGTGCTAAGGAAGAACGTTGCATGAACTCTCAGACGTCGCCATGTATCCTCCAATCAAAGTCAACTTTACTAGGGAAATTGGGAACATTTTCCCAAATTTTTCAGATGATTTTGTCGGTAAACTTAATCCAAAACATCTGAAAAATTTATGGAGACATCAAGTGGATTACGTTTTGCAATGAGGAACCACTATAGCTGGCTCTCCCATAAAAGCACGTATCTGCATAGGGAAACTAATGACATGCATGGTGTTTTTAAAACGAGCCAGAAAAAGTGGTTCTTTCTTGTAAAATGCAATCCAAGTGTATGCGTTTCTATCCTATCTGCCGTGCCAAGGAAGAACGCCGTATGAGCCCTCAGATGTTGCCATATATCCTCCAATAAAAGTCACATTTACCGGGAAAATTGTGGATGTTTTTCTCAAATTTTTCAGACGATTTTATTCGTAAATTTAATCCAATACATCTGAAAATTTTAGGGAGAAATATGCATAACTTCTCTGGATTATAAAATGTCCTAACAACAACGCACCTGCTCTTTAAGAAGCATTATATGAAATGAAGGATTCAAAATACCACTCCTAAATAGTTTTAAATAAAATTAAATTGATCAATATTATCTACTGATACCGAAAGCGTTCTGAAAGATTCATTGTATCTTATTACCTTTTGTCCTTATTTGAGTATGAGAATTGGACGCAGTTTTAAAAGGGTTCTTTAGGTACAAGCTCTATTGCAGTGGAGCCTCTTGGATACACATCATGGAAGAAAGGCTCTTTCTTCTTGTCCAAACGTCAATTGCCCAGATCATGCGGCTCGTTCCGTTTGTTTTATGCTCTTAGTCTCCAGGATCCGCTAAAATTGAATTGATAAAAAAGGAACAACTAACTTAATAAACTGTTTTTAGAATAAACCAATTTCAAACTTAGAATTGAATTGATAAAAAAAGAGCAACTAACTTATTAAACTGCGTATAAAAATAAACCAATATTTCAAACTGAAAGAGAAAAAAACTTCACTAAAACTATGCTAGATCTTCATAAAGGGAAGAAGAGCTTAAAGGTTGAGAACATTTTAATGAAAATGTTCCCAAACCGCAGAAAATGTTTTTAATGAGCACAATAAGTGAATGGATCTAGAGCAAAAACAGCGATGTAGAGACAGCGACACTGCTTTAAGAAAATCACACGATTACTATGATCCACATAACTATGGATTCGTCAACTACGGTCCTTTTTTATGGACGATCACATGCCCCAATGTATCATGGCGGGGATCTGAGAATGGGGGGAAAATTGTTACATGCCTCGGAAATGCAAGGAGACTGACTTGCGGTAGGTGGCCTTTTCGTCTTGAACCTCACACATTTGGAAGCCTCGCACGTGAATTAAACATCATGGGAGTGGTTCATTTCCAGTTAAAACAGTGGACTCGCGCTGTTCACGATGCGATAGAAAAGGAGAAGCCGCCGCCAGCCAGAGGAATGTTGCGGTCTTGCAGTTTCTCGGTTAATTCAAATCCCCGCTTGTCATATTTTTCGGAAAATTCGGCGTTTCCCGGGAGAAGGGTCCTAATTCCCAAGGTTGCTAACGTGACTCAAACAATTTAATATTTTACAAGTATGCACCGGTGCAATTTCTGTCCAAAGTTTTCCTGATTTTTCCACGGAATCAGAGGAAATATTAGTGAAATATCAGTGGAAAATGCCTAAGATTCTCCTCACAAGAATGAAATTTGCGAAGGGGAACTGGGCCAAATTGTAATGTACTTACGTTCTTTCGTGAGGTCAAGATTAATTCATCTATTTGCGCACCAAGTTTTTGAAAAAATTCGTCAATATTGAACTTTTGCATCGAGCATAGTTACAGAGAAGTAAGATTACCTTGCTTGAAAATCCTGGAGAAATGTTTCAACTGATTTTTTTTCTTAATTGATATGAATCGATTTGCAATAAGATCGTTCGCTTGAGCAGTGAAGATCCGCTTTACTTTACACGAGACGCGAAAAATATCCATAGTATGGGATTCGTTCCAACAGCTATAAAAACAGTAGTCTTGTGTTATCACAAAATGTTTTTCTTGCATTCATGGCTCTCGTATTTTACATGGATTTTAATTTTTTTCTTTTGTCTGTTCCACAGATATCTTTTCCTGGTGCTGTCGCAACATCCTAATCTGCCATCGTATAAGAGGTAATTAAAAAAGAACAATCAATTTTAATCTTGTTTATCGTTTAAATTTTCCGGTTTGCTCTAGACAGAGATTTAAGTGGGATATAGTTGCTACTTAAATGGAAAGAAGATAAAAGAATATTTGAGGTGAGGTATTTCTTGCGTCTCGAGGGAGATCAAAGAGAAGAAACAATTAAAGAATGGTTAGAATGAATAGCGCTCTCACAATTTTCTCATTGTGGATCGCATGGCGCTTTTCCTTGGACCTGGTTTACCTCTGCCATTCTCACTCCTTTGAATTTAAAATGCTTGAGTTGGATTCATCCGGATTAATCGTGTTGTTTCAAGTTCAACCTCGATTTAACGTATTTATTTGTTTGTATTCTTGAGGACTCATGGGATGAGTGTCAGTTGCACCACCATCCTGAACAATCTGAGCGTTTTCTTTATTTCGAGAGGATAATTGGATCGAAAGAATAGGTGATGATCAAGTGGAAGCAACATGTATGAGATAATGGAGAGTAAATTATGGTAAGAGGAATGAGTCGTATACATAAAGGACCTGAAAGGAATTAGGAAGTTCCAATTTCTACTTGCATAGTTCGACTGATTCAATTAGGTCCATGTAGTTCTTCTGAGCGTATTTACAGCTTGGATAATTGAAAATGGAACTGAATCTTTAATTGGACATGTAAATTAAACCTTTTGAGGAATACTGCTTTTTTGAACAGTTTTTGAGTGATCGTCATACCTGGCTGATCCCTGATTCTTCCTAAATTTGCCAACCAAAAAGAGGCGAATCAGGGTCAAATTAAATTGCAGGTATAATCTCTTCAAGGCTTGTTCGTACGATAAGGTTGTGCAAATCATAAATATATTTCTGTCGCAGGCAAGTAATAAAATCTGACATTTTGTCAAATGCAAGGGAAAATAGTCCAATATTATAACGTAGATTGAAATTCCGATTCTTTTCCTAATTTTAGACAAAATTATTCATTGCTTCTGCAGGAAAAATTATCAGTAACAATTTGCATCACACAATAGTGCTTTTAACGATTTTTGCCTCCTGAACAGACACGTATCTTAAAAATATAACTTGATGTATAAATAAACATCTTAAATAAATTAACAACTTGATACTTGGATGTAGTATCATAGGGTGAGTGTGCAATTAGCCGTTTAAACGTTTTTATGTGGTCCTCTTTGAATGTATGAAAATTATCGGAACGGTCGTAGCCATCTGGAAGTTGATATCTCGTGGAAGGGAAGGTAAGTTCAAGTGGACGCATTTCTGTCAATAGGAACTATGTGCAATATAACGTGACACCTGTTATGCATGTATTCTTATGGGCCTCAGGTCGCAGGTCATGCACATAGTTCCACTTGACAGGAATACGTTCAAAAGGGGTTTATTAGCTTAAAAGCTGAAATGAAGCGAGAGTTCCGCGAGAATGGGGATCGGAAAATCGGGTCCAAGATTAGCCGGGGGTCGAGCCGGACTTGGGCGTCGCACATTGGATCGGGACAATCAGAAGGTTGGACCTGAAATTGTTGACTAAAACTGCAAAGAGGTTGTTCCATCCCCCATTAGATTTGGCCCCCTATCAAATATGATCCATCTGTTCAGGAGTGATACAGTAGCATGCGAGACGCTCAAATATTGCGGACATTTTGACTTAGGCCCCCCCAGAGAGGGGGGGAGGGGGGTCAAAGACAAAACCTTCAACTGTCTATAACTTTTGAGCGAAAAATCGGATTGAGTTGAACTTTTTTTTAAAAGAAAGATCTCAAAAGGATCTATCTGCTGATACCAGAAAAATTGAAAAAGTCAAATTTAATGCAAATTTTTAGCAATTTTTCGATTTCTTAGGAGACAAAATTTTCAATTTTGTCGTGTTTCGGCACTGCGCAATGACTCTACTAAAACAAAAACCAGTTTTTTAGATTCTCCACTCAATTTCCTATAAGATGCAAAAAACCGCATCTTGGGGAAACGTTTAGATCGCGAGCTAAGGCTTGTCAAAGGTAGCCCCGCGCTGTTCGCATATCCTCCACGCGTCTGCCACCGATCCTGTTGCCCCTCCTCCCCCATCCTAAATGCAAATTAACATTCTACTACCCAGCTTTCNTTGACTAAAACTGCTTTGAATGTTCATTTCGTCACATTTTAATTTTAAAGGGGTGCTTTCATAAGAAAATTTTATGAGAAAACCAACAGAACCACTTTTAAACCCTCAACAGATAGTATATACGGAGTTACAAGCTTCGGATCGAGACAATCAAAGATGTCGGACATTACATTATTGACGAAAGCTGCCGATTTTGACGTTCATTTCGTCACATTTTAAATTTTTAGGGATGCTCTCCAATGAAAATTTTATGTATGATAAAACCAACGGAGCCTTTTTCAGAACCTTAAAAGTCTGCACAAGCGGAGTTATAAGCTTTAAAGTTTCCGAATTTTGTCGGACCTCTCCTATTTTCCTCTGTGCGTCGGGCAGCATACTCGCCGCATGGAAAGGAAGCCGAGCGTCGAGCATGGACCGTGGAAATAGAAAATAAGCTCCGAACAGCATACCGAGCCCGCGCGGGTTGAAATAAATAGCATTCTTGGGACTTGCTAAATTATTCTCCCGCGCCCCCCTCCGCCCCCCCCGCCGCCTCGTCTTTTAAAAGCGCAGTCTCAACTTTGCGCTTTCCCCGGTATTTTAACCGTCGATAAGTTGCCAAATGTTGGGCCCTCCACTTCAAATGCGCCTCTTGCAAGTTTTTCCTAGCCAACAGCGCAGTTCTGTCGTGAGGGTGTCTATCACTCGGAGAAAAACATTTGTGTCTTCCTGTTCCTCCTGGTTAATGAAGGAAGTGAAGCACAAACTAACACAAATTTTGTGTTGATTTTGATACAGTTTGCGGTGAATTTAGCGCAGGAAACAACGGAGAGACCGGGAAAGTGCATTCCCCAGATTGCGACGTTGCAGTGGCGTGACGTGAAATGCGATATATCGATTGTTACGCCATTTAAACCTATGGAAAAGGATCGATACACAGTGGGTCCGCAGAGAACGCCTCAATAATCGATTCTTTACCATAGGTTTAAATGGCAGAACAATCGATATCTCGCAAAGCACGCCACGCCACTGCGACGTTGGTATTCACCACTCGTTTTTTATTAAATTTTCGCAAGGAAACTAGCTGACATTTTCTCTTGAAATTGTCGACCGAAGACTTGGGTTGTTTTGTGATTCACGTCCCGTGATAACCAAATTTTTGTTTCAAATTTCTCTCTGTGTTGTTCGGAATTTCCGGAAAGATCAGAAATAGTACTGATGCTTTTCAAGGCGGTCCGTAAGTAATGAAAAAGTGCGGAAATTCCACACGATGGTCCGGAATTTTTTCCTTCATAGCACGCGTGTTGTTTTAATAAAGCCTGGAATAGTATGCGATCCCTCGTGCGATAGATTTGAGAGTAGTATTTGCCTGCAAGATCGCGATTGTGCAGTCAGTTAATCTTCAAGCCGCCAATGAAATTTTGTGTCTATGTCATTTTGGTCGCAATTCGAGCGAGAATTTAAAATTTTCAAAGTTTATCGAATGTCGTCACATGGAGGTACTGAAGAAGTTCTGAATTTTCTTGTCGAGGGCGCACTAAATTTTTAAAGAACGCGCTGAAAAAGTGCTGTAAAAGTATTGATTTTTGGCCAGCCTCTTTTAGCCTGTTAGTCACCCTGAAATAGGCCCCCTGCAAGTTTTCCTGAGCCAAGACCGTTCTGGCGTGTTATCGGGAAGAGCTAGTGACGATTTTGTTAGTCGGCAACACTGCGGGCTGATTATTAAAATTAATAGAACAAAGCGATAGACAAAGACGCCATAGAAAGTATGGAACGATCCTATTGGTTGAAATATGTTGTTCCACAGACTAAGGGAGAAAATGACGGACTAACTGTCGGGTTTCTCGTGGATTGCCCTTAGTTAGTCTCTTATCTATTGCCTTAGTCCATTGCAACCACCCGCTTCAACCAATAGGATCCCTCCATATCCTTTTTGTCATCTTTGTCTATAGCTGTGTATATACATTTCAATAAACGTCCTGCTGGTCTCTACCCATTTAAATACGTATACAATATTATTTCTGATGCCCTGAAACGCAGTATAATGAATGAGCGCTGTACGGACTGCGCAAATCGCACGTCAAAAAGTGCCTTTTAGATACCTCGTCGTTTTCCACACGAAAGACCGTACCGATGTCGCCAAATCCCCCCCCCCCCCCCCNGTAAATTCCATATTTAAAGCCATGTCTTTCGCATTTATAATTTTGAATTTTACTGATTTTTCCTGTGATCTCTCGCAAAAATTAGAGAAATATTGAATAAAAATTGCACGAATACATCCGTCTTAAAAGTAGAATTGTCTGAGCCGATTTTGCAACCTTGGAATAGAGTTACGTTCCTTCACTGAAAAAAAAGAATGGTAGAATTTACCATTCCTTCACTCTGCATTTCACACCGTGTGAAGGAATGGTCATTTCTACCAATCTTCAAGTCGATTGTACCAGAGGAATGGTTACCTGTACCAGTATATAGTAACGTTTACGTTTCTTCTTGCAGAATTAACTCTGAATTGACGCTGTGTGAAATACAGCGTGACGCTAATGTTAAATTCTACCAATTCAATTCTGCCAGAGGAATGGTTACCTGTACCAGTATACATAGTAACGTGTACCTTTCTTCCGGCAGAACCGACTCTGACTTGACAAAGTGTGAAATACAGCGTGACGCTAATGTTAAATTCTACCAATTCAATTCTGCCAGAGGAATGGTTACCTGTACCAGTATATATAGTAACGTGTACCTTTCTTCCGGCAGAACTGACTCTAAATTAACGCTTTGTGAAATATAGCGTGAAGGAACGGTAAATTCTACCGATCTTTTTTTTTCAGTGTTCGTTCGGGGAGCGACGACTTTTGATATATTTATGAGATTTTCGAGCAATGCTACTTATTAGAAGTATACTAAGTCGTTTGC